GTATGTCTGTTTGTCTGTTTTTGCGTGAGCGTTTCACGCGAAAAGTAATGTACCGATTTCAACGAAATTTGGTGAAGTGATAACTTATTACTCGAGTCAACATTCAAGATACCTTTTGTATGTATGTGTGTATTTATGTATGTATGTATTCAGATCTTTTTAACGTCCCACTGCTGGGCACGGGCCTCCATTCAGTACGAGGGGGAACAGGCCATAGTCCACCACGCTGGCCAAGTGCAGGTTGGCGGACTTCACATGTCTTTTGAAAACTTGCTAGGTTCTCTCAGACATGCAGGTTTCCTCACGATGTTTTACTTCACCGTTAAGACAAGTGGTAATTGTGTTAGAAATGATTCGCACATGAAAATATCAGAGATGCGATACCCGGGATTTGAACTTGCTTCACTTGGTTTCCCAAGCGAGCGCGTTACCACTGGGATACCACTGCCTAGGTACCTTTTACTTCAAGAAAATCTTTCTTTCCCACGGGAAAATACAATAACTGGTTTTATCGAGTCCTCCCTATAAACTATCCGCTGGCTAAGCCTTAAGACATACATACATTAAAACATTATACTAAAAAATTGTAGGTCTTGAAAAGTCCTACAGAAAAGTTCTGAATTGTATGTCTATCTCCTAAGCATGAACGAATTCATGCTGCTAAGTTACACTCGCAATATTTATTCTTATCTATACGTATAATAAAACGAACTTAGTCAAATCGATGTGCGCGTTTCGCGTAAAAAGTACTCAACCGATTTTAACTAAATTTTCTATAGTGATAAAACTTAGTACTCGGGTCAACATTTAGGATACTTTTTACGACAGGCAAATTATTCATTCCCATGGGAAATCGCCCACCGAAGTGGGCCACCTCCCTGTGCGTTCCTTGGCTTCGCTTCCGGCTGGGTTGCCGGGCACTACTGAGCCCCCCCACCACGACAAGGTGAACGCACGTTGGGGGGGTTGGGGGGTGGGTTGGTGAAATTTATATGGCTAACGTTGGCTCAACCATAAGAGATAGATCAAAACATTGTGCAAGAAAATTGTAAGTCTTAGAAAGATCTATAGAAAACTTCTACATATTATATGTCATATTTTAACTCCTAAGGTACACTCACTATAACTATTTTCATTATTGGGTATTACTGTTTTATTATACAATATTTATTCTATTCTATCTATACATATAACAAAACTGTAGAGGTTATTTCTCTGTCTGTTTGTCTGTTTGTACGGGCTAATCTTCGAAAATATTGAACCGATTTAAATGAAATTTTGCATGGTAGTACCTTATACCCCCGGTCAACATCTAAGATACTTTTCATTCCAGAAAATTAAAGAGTTTCCGTGGGATAGTTAAAAAACTATAGTAACTTATACAGCTTAGTACACAACAACTTACGCACCTAATTTAGTAAAATTTGGCATGCTGATACCTTATATTGCCGGTCAAACAACAGATGACTTTTCATCCCGGAAAATGAACGGTTTCCGTGAGATAGATCTGTTTGTGCTTTTCTAGAGGTGAAACCGAGCGAAGCAAGGGTGAGCCGCTAGTACATATAATAAAATTGTAACTTAGCCGAAGTTGTACATTAAATATTTTTAACCGACTTCCGAAAACGAGGAGGTTCTCAATTCATCGGAATCTTTTTTTTTATGTACATATGTTCACCGATTACTCGAAGACGCCTGAACTGATTTGGAAAATTTTTGTTTTGTTTGAAAGGGTAAACTTCCCAGGTGGTCCCATATAAATTTTATCGAAATCGGTCGAGCGGTTTTAAAAAAAATCAACAATAAATATATTTTTTAAACAAATTGTTTAATCGAACATGTTATTAAAAGCTTTCTTCCTACAAATTACCTGCTTATTACGTTTACACTAAAAGTATAAAAATAAAAACTTAAAAAAAAACCGACTTCCAGGCACTAAAATGTAAAAAATAACTAAACGGGGGTTTTCATTTAGAATAGATACCTAATCAGATATTTTCGAAGTCGGTGCCAGCGGACAATATTTTAAGATATGAATATCTAATAGGTAACTACGAGTATGTATTTTACGTATCAAAATATATTAGATTTCCTATGCGTCGGCTGGCACCGACTTCGAAAATATCTGATTAGGTATCTATTCTAAATGAAAACCCCCGTTCAGTTATTTTTTACATTTTAGTGCCTGGAAGTCGGTTTTTTTAAGTTTTTATTGGAAAATCTTATTAAAATAGATATCATTATTTATTATCAATACAGAGGCGGAATCTATAGTTTTTGGGATTTTTGTCTGTCTGTCTGTTACCGCATCATAAAATAACCACTGGAGGGATTTTCATGAAATTTGGTATGGTGATAGCTAGTTATCCGGGTCAACATATATTATACTTTTTATTGCGGGAAAATATCTAATTTCCGAGAAATCTATACTAAACGTTAAAACGTAAGTAGGGACGAACCCGAGCGGAGCGAAGGTGAGTCGCTAGTCTATACATATAACAAAATTGTAACTAAGCCGAATCTGTACATTAAATATTTTTTGGAAAATCTTATTGAAATAGACATTATTATTGATAAAGACGCCATATTTATAGTTTTTAAGATTTTTGTCTGTCTGTCTGTTACCGCATCACGGAAAAACTACTGGAGGGATTTTGATGAAATTTGGTACGGTGATAGCTGGTTATCCGGATGAACATATAGGATACTTTTTACCGCGGGAAAATATCACATTTCTGAGAAAAAATACAAAAACTGCAATGTAAGAGTATACTAATATGTAAAACCTAAGAATTTGGTTATTGGTCATCTGAACGCGGGCGGAGTCGCGGGCAATGCTAGTACAAGTATATAATATATAATTACTTCATATTAAATAGGTATCTATTTAAATAGGTAGGTACAAGGTAGCTTTAGTTTTCATTAAAAGTATCGTTGATAGGTTGATAGGTAGGTATACGAAACACATCGAATTAATAACTTATAACAAGTAAGTAGTCGCTATTATACTTCGATGAGTCGATATCATAAAACCGATGTATTAAGTAAATTGTTAAGGGATTCACCAAAACAATTTTCCCTTCATAAAGGTAATGAATTCGGCTACAATGGCCCTTCATAATGGTTACGATATACGGTCCCTTCAATTGCCGTTTGATTACTCGGTAATTTCGATCGTGCATATGGCTAATGCAATCATTAATTCAGATATTGGCTCCATGTGCGAAAAAAATTTGAAATCCAGTTTACACTTAGTATGGGAATTATATACCTACTTAAAGTTCATTAACTTTTTAAATCGACGGAAGCGTATGAGTTCCCTCGTCCTCTACAAAAACTATATTATACCTATTATTAATATAAATACGTAGTTAATGGTTATCTGACAAAAAGGACTATTTTTAATTTTTTTCAAAATGTAGTGTTTGTTAATCCATCTGACAAATTAGTCACAAATACCTATAGCGCTGGATTTTGTATTATGTCGCTTATATAACCTGGATAAACGTGCAGAAAGTTCTTAAGAAGCAACTTTGTTTTAAGCGCGGCCGGTAACAGCTATAAATCGGCCGTACAGATTTACGAGGGTGCTCTGCAAATCGGTTTATATTTTCGATAAATAAAATTGGCGCGGGTTTTGCGAGGTAAGCAGAGGCCGTTAGGAGTGCGTCGCCGCTGCCGCCATCTGCCTCGCTCACATAAACCCGAATACCCTCGCGTTTTCTTGCTGACAATTTTTTCCTGCTCCGGTCATTACGCAGCTGGGCCCGAGACAAAACGGCGAATCGTTTAAGCCCTCTCCGGAGACCGTCCAATTTTATTGTGTGTACCTAGTCGAAATTGATATGCCGTGCGAGTGTCGGCTCGCGTCACATGGCGAAGGACACTGGCCCCGCGCGCTCATTTACTAGCTCTCGACTTCAGCAAATAACGAAAAAGTGTTTTCCCTACTATGTAGTATAGTTTCTGTAGCAAGAATGATCTTTGTTAAGATTATTATTAGAAATATGTTTTATCAATATTATTAACTTCGTCGTGTGATATTTTTGCAGAATATCAATAATAAATTCACTTACCGTTAAACGAAAAAGTTCGAAAATAGCTAATTTTTTTTATATATAGGTACATAATTTGATATAATAATATTATAATAAAAACTAATCAATACGATTAATTCTATTAGTTTTTGACAGATGACATTGACTTACATATTTTTCACCCTTTGGGGGAATTTTCATTTTGTAAAATATAATCCATAAATTAACTAAATTAAAACATACCAAATGTTTTGTAGAAATTATACCTATGCCTTTAAATAAAAGCGAATGTGATGCTGTGTCTGTGTTTATGGGATTGGTAATTTTTGCCCTTCCCATAACACTCCTAGTGCCTGATTTTTCAATTTCGGACGTAATTCCTAAGATTCGCATAGAACGTCTTCACATCTTCGATCAGTATCTCTCTTGGCCTCAGCTCAATGCTGCTATGATAACGCTTCTTGTTTTATTTTTTTGTTTTTATCTCGAAGTACGGAAACGACAGTAAGTAAAAACGTATTTTCTAGTTTATACCTACTTACTCGTATATTTTATGAACTATTGAATTCAATTATGTCGTAGGTATATTATTAATTAGCGTCTCACCTTCGCTTCACTCAAGTTCGCCCCTTGGTACGCTTATGACGCTTAGTATGGAATAGATTTTTTTTCATGAATTTTTCCGATGTTTTGATAGTTATACTGCTATTCGGGGTGAAGACATACTAGTATCCCACAAAACACAGATCATAAAAATCGGTCCAGCAGTTCTCGAGTTATAAGTTTTGTAATAAACCCGACTTTGTTTTATATATACTTAGAGATTACTAGTATCTTGAAAGGAAATATGACAAGAAATAATTTAGGTACTTTGAGAAATACCTACTTATATATTGATACAAAATTAAAACTATATAAATACTTTTATTCACATTAAAATAAACGCATTTTAGCCTTGACGAGATGGTTGAAAATGTTTTGGCTGTGACGCAAGTAACAGACGCTGTCATTGAAGAAGAGCGAGACCGTCAAGCCGAAGCTATGCGTGCTTGTATGAAACTGCTGGACTCTTCGGTAGAGCATTATGAAAACTTGATACTTCTGCGAGATGATCTACGTTTGTGCAAGAAGCGTCAACATCCGCCTGTCATCGAATTAAGTTCCTCGGAATTATAGTTATTGGATCTATGAAAATAAAGCCTAAATTATTATTTTTAATTTTTCGAATCATTTTATTGAAAGAAATAAAATATACCAATCTAATTTTAGAATTTCAATAAAAAGTACGTAACAAGAGTTAAAATAACAGAACAGTGAGATAGGTATTCATTGATATATTTTTATTTTTCTTAGCGGTAGACATGTTCATTAGAACAACTAGCCCCCGCCTCGTGGGACGTTGTTGACGCGAAAAAACCAATCTGGAACTTGCAATTACATTAAAGAACGTAATTAGACGTGCTTGCCGCTCCATGAAAATTGTTGCGTTTTTTCACCTCTTCATTTTTTACTTAAATAATAATTATATGCCACTCATTAGTTCAAGCTATTATTATAGATATATATCAGAATTTCCACTAATATGTACGTCTTGATAATTCAAAATTCATAACGCCATCGCTTTCACGCAGCGATCAAGTATTTTATTTTATAAAAAATGTCATTTAAATTCAGCCATGCGTAAGAAATTCACGGTAGCTTTGGTACACCTCAATATGAATGTACGTCACTTAACATCGCGAGGTGAACACGCCCCTCTATTTTCATTTAGACAGATCCGCCGGGAGCGGATCAGGCGCTCGCAAAAATAAATAAAATTGTTATTGAGATAAGCATCTGCGGCGCGGCTTTCGCTAAGTCCCGCTGTGTCGCGCTGAGCAATGTACTGAGATATGTCCGGATTACGCGTCGTAGCTTCAAGTTTCCTTCAAATCTGCCGCTTTCCTACCAAGTTTACAGCTGAAGGCGCCCGCTTTAGCCCGCCCGGAATGACAATATTAAACTGAAAACAAATTTTTACTTGCTCTCAGATGTACTTTTATATTGCTTATTAATTATATTATATTCTTTTCATTTTATTTTTGAAATAATTTTGACTAAATGGACTGTATCTCTTTAAATGATAATTTAACCGTTAACAGCAGAGGAAGTTATTTAAAATTTATTAGGAATCGAAAAAAAATCTTGATATTTATATTATCATGTTTTTAATATATTTCAAATACTTTATACATTATACGTAGTTATATTATATATAAATTAAATTTTAAGATATATTAAGTACATAATGTATCAACAGAAATAAAAAAAAAACAACATTGTCTATAGATGTATCATTTAGCGTATATAATGTAGAGTCGCGTCTTATCCTCGTAGCATTCGATGGAAACATAAACACACGGATTACTGCGATATAAGAGTGGTCGGCACCTGCGGCCACCTGCCCTGGATTAATTTCTTATCAGAACCGCTCTCAGGAAATAATGAAGATTGAAGAAAAATGTAGAGCTCGAGATGTCTCCCGTTGATTAATAAACTCCGTATAACCTCAACCAGACGTTTAGGTACGCTTTAAATATTTCATAAAATTCTAAATATTTTAATCAGCTTCTTTATTGTTTACGTTGCAATTTATTGCAAAAATATTCTCAGTGAAAGTAATTTGTTTTATTTCAAAAAGAGAGAAATTATTTATGCCAATATCAAAAATTAGAAAGTGTTTGTAAATTCTCCATTCTTAAATAGAAAGGATTTGGCTAAAACTTGTACACGTGTAGTTTTTGTATTAAACTTGTAATAGGTAGGTACTACACCTTTTATGCTGAAAAACACTTTTAACGCAGGGATGCCTATGATAAGCAGTGACCATATGAGATAAATATAAAAACGTAGATATCTATTTGTCTTACGGCCTTTTTTTTAACGTCCCACTGCTGGGCACGGGCCTCCCTTCAATACGAGGGGGATCAGGCCATAGTCCACCACGTTGGCCAAGTGCGGGTTGGCGGACTTCACATGTCTTTCGAAAACTTGCTAGGTTTTCTCAGACATGCAGGTTTCCTCACGATGTTTTCCTTCACCGTCCTTATTAGCGATATGAATGCAACATATTTTGTATGGATTTTAGGTCCTATTTTTAAGAAGGATAATTTTAGATAAATACCTACGCTATTAAGAATCACCGTTAGTGAAGTAGTCTCGTATCTTGCTGGTACTGTTTAATCAAAAACGTTCAATAAGTTAAGAGGATTATTAAATTTTGTCGTAAGGTTTTTGTAAACAAATTAACCTAAAGATAATAGAAAAATTGGTTTCATGTCTATAAAGTTAATAATATGTTATTATTTCGATTATATTATAAAAAAGTAGAAAAAATAAAGATTTCTTATTTATTTACATTGCATAATAAATTACCTTCTACTACAGGTCCTAATACATTGTAAATTAAAAAAAAAAAAATATCTATCGGTCACTACACTAAATTTTAGGTAGTTCATATTTATTCAAAGTGTAGAGGTTTTCTAAATAGTGTTTATGATCAACGATCATATATACGAGTACATACGTAGGTAGGTACATAATAATTGTGTATGGAAATGTGAATCAATCAAACGACTATTATTAATAATTGCATATGACATATTGTTCAGTACCTACTATATAATTTAAATTACTAAACAATAACTTCTGCAGAAAAATGTAAGCAATTTATAAATTATTATTTGCTACGCTCAATGAAGCGATATAATATTTTTTCTTAAAGTTCCATAAAAAAATGTCATACTTTGTATGAATATGACTCGTTTCATTTTTGTTTTATATTATTTATTTTCACGCTGCTCATAACTCGAATAAGGAACATTGTAAACTTAATTTTAAACCATGAGATAATTGAACCACAACATTATAATAATTTAAAATGTTTTTAATATATCTAATAAGAGAAATTAGATGTTATTACGAATTACATCAGACCTTTTCCGTTATATCGTTTCAATAATACTTGCATTTAATGATTACAGAACAATTTGATGTTTTTTAACCGAAATTTGATTTTAAACGGTGACATTTTGACCGCAAAGTCACGAAGGTGGCATGCGATAGTTTCGTCGCAGCCGCAAGATGGCTGCAAGCATCTGTCGGTTTGTCGCTCTTACCATTTAAATAACTGTTCTCTGTTACAATTATGAATTATTTACTGTATCATTATTGCTGCGGTTATTTTTCTTCACGCGAACACTTTCGTAACGCCTTGAGATATGTAAATTGTTGATATATTAAAATATCATAAATATATTAAAAATTTTAAAAATCGCAAATGTCAAAGTTTGATGATGCATTTAGCAATTTTATTATTTCAAGGTTCATTTTGTGTATTATTAATTTAAAGAAAACGTATTTTTAACGAAAGTTCTAAAGATCCTACTCACCCGAATCCTAGATAAAGTTAGAGACAATTTAAGAAAGCCCGCCTATCTTCATAAATTTAAATTATCTTTTGTGCCTTCATTCAAAATTATTTATGTTACTATTTATTGTATTAACATAAATTGGACATGAGTTATTTTATTAGCTCCAATGCGTCAAGTATGCTTTGGACAAAGATTATGATTGTAATTCAGATTTGTCATAGATCGTAAAGGTTACGTTTTGTTTATGGCACCGTAGAAACGTTTTGATTTACTATATTTTTATATGAAACCTCTTCTCAAAAGGACACGCTGTCTTTATGATTGGAAAGTCGCTTAACTAAACTGAACTTTATAATTTTAAGATGTAAACATAATTTGCAAATGGAAGACCGATGTACATACACCTTGTAATAATTTTACAACTTTAAGGAAATTAAAAAAATCTTAATATAGTTATACCTTATAAAAGCCTAGTTATTTTGTGTTCTCAATTATTCGTTTTTTACGATATAATCATTAAAACTAGATCTGAGAGTTTGGGCAAAAATATAAATGGAGATCATCAGATAAAATTTTATAGGATTTTAATATGATTAAAATTGTCAAGTGTTTAGTTATTATAGCTCAGGTCCTGGAAATCATCTGTCCCGCATGCAAGCTCCGTCGTTTGTCCACGATCACTGGTCACCTTTATTGTTTAAGCATTAATGATGGCTAGTAGCTCATACGTGATGTCTTGAGCATTGATTTTTCGTACTAATTTTCTTATTTTACACGCTTTTATTTAACATGCAATGTTTGTATGTATGTTGGTTCGGGTCATATCTTGCAACTGAATTTTAAAGTAGTTATCTTCAATCGATTGAGCTGAAATTTTGCATATAACTGAAATTTTGCATGGTTAGATAAGTGCCGTCATTCTAAATCCAACATAGCGTATTTTCAAAAATGGCGGATTATGTTTTTTTATTTTATGCACCCCCATGATAAGGATATCAAATGAAAGGGTTTGCTGAGAAGAATACGAATAAATACCTAAAACATAAAAAAATAACTTTAAATCAAATCAATTTCCATTTATTACATTACAAAATTTATATAATAGAAAAGCTTGTTTTAAAAAATGCTTTTTTTTTAATATTAATTTATTTATGAAGCGCCAGTTCATCTATGACTATCTTAGGTATTGTACATAAAGAGTTAACCTTGGTTATTATCATTTTTAGGAATAATGTATCTACTTTAACAACGCACAAGAGTGAAGCAGCGAGCGAATGCAAGTAAAATCTTTCTTTTAGTTGTTAAATATAGTTTCATATAATTTATAGTATAGTTTATATCCTACTAGCGGCTCACCCTCGCATCACTCGGGTTCGCCTCTAGAAAAACAAAAACAAATCTATCTCTCAGGAACCGTATATTTTTCCGAGCTAAAATTAGCCTATGTTTTATTCCAGACTATAATCTATCTCTGTGCCAAATTTCAACCAGATCCGTTCAGCCGTTCTGGCGTGAAAGTGTAAGAAACATCCATACATACTCACAAACTTTCACATCTATACAGATAAATAAAATTGAAGTGTGTGTTTGTAATGTCAAAATAATAGCTTTCTACTAAATGCATATGAAGTTGTACACAGTACTTATTATAAGAGAAAAACAATTTAAATATTTTTGTCTGTCTGTCAGTCTGTTTGTTCTGGCTAACCTCCGAAACGGCTGGACTGCTTTTGACGGGACTTTCACTGGCAGATAGCTGAT